TAGACACAGACAGACACTGACATGACGTTGCTGCCCTACAACACAAACTCACTGCTCATCACATGCCACTTACAGGTATTTGCAGTGTGTGTAAATGGTTGGTTGGATATCGCTGTAGATTAAAGATGACCAATTGATAATTGGATTGTTAGCTGGATAAATCATGACTGCATATGAACGATGAACAGTAGTGACCATGACAACACTAGCTGGGAAGAAGAGGCAGCGAAGGCTGCAGGCCCCAAACTGTGCCCTGCTTGATCACCGGTATTACTATAAGTCTATCCATAGTTTACAAAATTGACATCAAACTGTATTAAAAAAAAGCATTATTTTCCCATAATCTCTGCTGTGAAAAAAACACAGGTTTAAGACATCAACAACATCAGTTATTTATAAACAGTATAACTGTTAGACTGAATGATGAAAGGTGGTATATAGATGGGATGGGATAAATGCCAGCTAGACTGAAATGGATGGATGAATGAACAAGAATCGAATATAGAACATTAGACTGCTGGATGCTTGATAAATGGGTGGATAATAGATTGATGGAAGATTATTAAGTGGATAAGAGGATGGAAAGGTAGATAAGCATACAGATAGCTATGTAGCAGGAGTGGGCAATTAATTAACCGAGGAGGTCACATGAGAAACTGGACCTGTTGTGGAGGGCCACACCAATAAACTGATCTCAGATCTGCTCAGTATTAATATTATCTTGGAGTGACCTTCAACAGCAGTCCCAATCCTATGGGCTCAAAATGTGGTCATAAATATTTTGTACTTGTAAAAAAGATTTGTATGTGTAAAAAAGATTTGTGTGTGCGTAAAAAAGATTTGTATGTGTAAAAAAGATTTGTGTGTGCGTAAAAAAGATTTGTGTGTGGACTTAGAAAAAAAACCCTGCAAGTTACAAGTACGGATTTTTGACCCTATTTTTCTTCCCTTCATCTGATTGGTCAATGTCATGTCAATCACAAATGTAACAATCCAATCAGAGAACAGATGGGTTTGGCTGTCGAGGGGCGCTTTTTTTGAACTGCAGGTCTTTGAAGGGAATAAATGCCCTTTTACATGCCAACCCAGCGTTTTCCTTCATCACCACGAAGGAAAACAGTCTGTGGTCGTCCGAGTTTGGTGATTTTTGTGTCACAGGTCTACGTGTTTAATACAGGGACTTCCACAGCCTTTTCAACAGCGCTGCGGACCGCGGGGTGGGGGCGGGCAGTGTTTTGGAAATGACAGTCTTCATTACAAAGCTTTCTTCGTTATGAATTAGCATACATGTTTTTATTGAACATTTGAAGAACTAGCAAAAAAAACAAACTCTTGTAGAGGACATAAAGTCAGAGATAGAAAAGACAAGGAGCAGGTGCATCTAGTACAGGTAGAGCTGCTGCAAAAACCCACAGAGCCCAGCAGCCAGCGTAACAAATTCTGGATCCTTTGCTTTTAGTTAGCAGTTAGCATTAGCAGCGTATCCTGCATCCGATGTGAAAGGACTTTTATGCTGCGCACTGTGACTCACAGCAATGGTCCTGGGTCAGCCCTGACTTTGTGTTAAACTAATCCTAAAGTAATAATGTTATTTCTAACCACTGATATACCACAACTTTTTCCTTTCAACAGCTACTGAAAGTTAGGGGACCTAGCTGCTATCGGATATTTATATAGCGATCCTCCAGCTTCAAACGGTATCACCCTTCAAGGACCTGCAGTTCAAAAAAGCGCCCCTCCGACAGCCAAACCCATCTGTTCTCTGATTGGATTGTTACATTTGTGATTGACATGACATTGACCAATCAGATGAAGGGAAGAAAAATAGGGTCAAAAATCCGTACTTGTAACTTGCAGGGTTTTTTTTTCTAAGTCCACACACAAATCTTTTTTACACATACAAATCTTTTTTACAAGTACAAAATATTTCTGACCACATTTTGAGCCCATAGAATCCCCCCTGTGCCTGATCCCTGCTATACAGGATGATCAAAAAAGGATTAAAGATATAGTCAGGCATTAAAAAAGAATTATACTCATAAATATACATTGAATAAGGTGTGACTGTGTCTTCCAACAAATTGATGCATTCTCACAAATAAAGAATTAATCTAGTAACACTATAAGAGCTGTAAGCCATCAGGTTGCCCAGCCACAGTTGTGGAGATGGACATGGATGTTCTGTCTAATCACATTTTATGTATGTGGCTGGAGACATATGTAGCATGCCAAAGATGGAAGGGAAGAAAACTTGTAGGTGTTCAAGTTGCAGGGAGGAACATTTTAATTCATGGCTGCAACTTCAGACATAAGATATGAAGGGTCGTACCTATGTTTTATTGATTTATTTATGTGTTTTCACTATGTGTTTTCACTATGTGTGTGAAAACACATAGGAAAAAAGACAATGATATCCTCTTCCTCCTCACTTCAAGCCTCTTCCCATGAACTTAAGTCATGGCTCTGTCACATGTAAATGTATATAAACATGCTTATTCCAAATATTGTTGCAGTTACTTATTGTCAGCATATTAGACATGCAACCATCCCATCTACAACAGCTGGCATCAAGCTGACTAAATAATAAAAACACCTCTAGTAGAGATTACATGTAAACTCACCCTCCAAACATAGAATTCATTGCTTGTCTGCAATCTAAGATTATGGAAAATATATATATTTTTAAATTTTTACATGTTGGTGTCAGTCCTTTCTTGTATCATCTTTGAAAGTAATCCATGGTCTGATATATACTCGGCAGTAAACAACCGATCTCCATATACAGTTAATATCTGCATCTTGACAATCTTTGTGTTTGGCTTATGTCTGTATTTTTAAAGGAGCTTTTATTCTTGCTTTTGCCCTCGTTTTGATTCAAAACAGTTGTATGGGTAAATGACTAAACCATATAAGTCTAATAAATGTGGACTGAGTATGAATGCAATTAGATGAACATTTTCCACTTTAGCTTTTGGCTGTTCAGCAAACCATTATAGCAGTCCTATTTCAAAGACAGGCAGGCTTCTTTCTTTCTTGGGAGTGAGAGACCTCTGGATATCTGGGATGAGTGTCTCACTGCATACAAATGTGCTTGAAGGCAACACTTAGCTAACAGAAATGAATTAACCTCCATTCCATTCAGCAACTGTTACCTTACAGTCTGCAGCAAGTAAATTCGGTTAATAGGAGTGCTCTCTGTTACAACAAAGGTTTAAATCTTTACGATATTGGTTATAATACATTCCTGGTACTTGTGATTTCTCGGTGTATGAAGTATTTACAGAACAGTAGCTTATTAAATTATGGGGGGGTTTTTTTCTCTTCCTCACAGTTTCCTTTGTGAGGTTTGTTTCCTAAAATAGTTTAAGGTGACTGTGACTGTGTTTTGTATGGCAGCTGATAATTACACCAGTGTTTCTCCTACCATAGCCTTGAGGGGGCGATCCAATACTGCAGCCTCACCCCACAGTCAGCCTAGAGAAAACACTGTTAACTTTAATCAGGACTAGCACAGATGTTTAAAAAGAATATGACTTGGATCCAAACTAAATTTTATAGATGCTAAAACTGACAAAACAAATGAACAAACAAAAATGAATAAATAAATAAATAAATAAATAAAGGTTTGATAATACTATATTACTCAGTATCAAAAATAAATGTTATAGCATTAAGTTTAATTAGGTTTTAGTTCTAGAGCAACTATACTGTTTTTGTTTCGTTTTGTTTTTTTGCTCATGTCTCTCAAATTGTAAAAACGAAATAGATTATTTTAGATTTATAACTTTAAATAACTCTAAATAACTTTTTTTTCTGATTGTGCTGTAGAAGGTGGCAGACCTCCAAAACAGTCGTTCAACATTGTTCATGTTCTTGTTTTATTTGCATTTGTTTTTTTACAGGTTTTTCTGTATGTGAGGCAAACAGAGAGCACTAAAGACTATAATAGGCTTAGCAACGACTTGCCATGTGCTGTGTGTGTGTCTGTTTTGTATGTGTAGCTGCAGGGATAGTGATGATAAGTGAAGCAGACTGTACTGTCCCAGTGCCCTCTGACTTACTGTCTCTCAAATGCTTTGCTTGTGCGTTGTTTTAGCAGCAGTGAATCTCTTCTTCTTTTTTGCCAACAAACTCATATCTTGCACACTGTGTATGATTAGCGTTAGAGTAAATAAATGTGCCTAATTTTCCAACTCTTGTTTTATGAATTGATTGTTTAGCCTAACGGAGTCATCGATTTTGAGAGGTTTCATCATCAAAGCAATTAACAAATTGATTCAATTGCAGTGCTGCACGAAAGGCCAGAGGTATTATATCTGTTTCTTTTTGGGGGCGTGAATATTTTTAACAATTTCCTGTTTCCAGGGTCAATATCATGAATTTGTTTTGAAATTTTTGTACTAATTTTCTTAATAGAATAGGTTTCTAAGCTTTAAAAGTAAAAAGATAAAATGAGAAATAGCAGAGCAGATTGAGTTTTTACTCTAACCTCATTACTGCAGATAAATTCTGTCAGGTAGAAAAGCTTGATGCTAGAAATAGTCCGTCTCAGCTTTAAACGGCACTGTGTGTTGGCAGTGAATGTGTTCCTGTTGAAGACAGAGTTGCTTCCAATTGGCCAGCTAAATCTCCTCATCCCATCCACATACACTCTCTCTCACTGTCTTCCTCTCTCTCTCTCTTCCCTGTCTTGACTGATGTCGGGCTTATTCCAATCCCTGCAGAGCCGTGTGAGACGAGGAACCAATAGCATGTCGGGGAAGGCGGAGCTAGGAGCAGTCGGCCAGCTTCAGGCAGAGATGCTGCATTTGGACCTCATCGATGGTGCTGACGGTTACCGCGGTGACAAAGAATCCTCGAAGGCGTCTGCAATTTCAACTCCGCCAGTCACCAAGGACCCTGCAGCACCTGTTACCATGGATACTTACCGGCCCAAGAGACCCACGACCCTTAACCTCTTCCCAATCGTGCCACGCACACAGGTATAGCCTGAATTAACCTTATCCTCTCGCTCTCTCACACACACACACACATTCACTCACACAGTTACACAGTTTGTGGCAGGTGGACAAATATTGATGAGTAATTCTGGAGGACTGTGGGAATGTTTCAGTGTTTTTCTTTCAGTGTTTTTTCACTCCACCTATATTGGAGCCTCCTCTCACACAAATATTATGTTTGAAATTGTAAATATAACTGGATAACCTACTTGACATCACCACTGGATTCACTACAATTGCTTCTCTGACAGGATGTGTTTTCTCCACTGAACAATAGCCTCAACTGTCATTTCTTTTTTTCTATTGGTGCCCGTCTCTGTTTGCTTCAATGGCGCTTGAGCTCGTGACCATTCGTGTCTGTGTGTGTCTGTGTGTGTGTGTCCATGTAAATCAATCTAAGTGAGGACCAGCACTAAGAAGGAAGACATTTTAGGGTAGTTTTAGGCTTTAGTTTTGGAATGGGAACTAAAAAATGTAAAGTATTGATAAAGAGCAGCGGTGTAGCCATACAAATGTGTGCAACCATGTTCGGGTTTACTGCGACAGTGAAGGTGTGTTTAAAAATTGTATTTGCACTATAGAGCACACATTTAGATTTTTCTTTTTTTGTTCAGTAAAACCTATGAATTAAAAATTGAGCATTACAATCTGCTAATTAAGTTTTGATAATGACAGTGGTATAGTTATGGTTTGAGTAGGTGGTAGACATCAGAGTGAAAGATAGTGATGAGGGCTGAAGTACTTTGTTCAGATAAGGAAAACATTATGACTTGGATCAAAAGGTTATAAAAGCCTTGGTTGTCATGGTTAAAGTATAAACTGATTTGGTTCAGATAGTGTTTGTAGTTTGTTAATAATTCCTTATTGAGTTACTTGAAGTTGAGGTCCTCATCTTATTGTTTTCTTGACTCCCTCCTTTATACCCGTAATGATTACTAGACCAGGACATTCATCATTATAGCCTCTTGCTAATACGTTGATCTTCTTGACTTGAGGACAGTGTCCAAGTTCAAATAAAACACATCTAATGTGCACAAAATCAAAACCTTTAGCTAGCTCCAGGAGATGTTTCAACACCTGCACAAGCATCACTGATGTTTCTTTCAGTTCTGGGAAGGAAAAGTAGCATGTAGTGAGTGGATTAGAACTTGTTAGGTGAAAAGAGCTTCAGAGAATATGGTTGGATGAACAATACAGTTACTTTGCCTTATAACCGAACAAAATACTATAAAATGGGCTAAAGAGTCAGAAATAATGTTACATGATACATTACACTGTTAATTCAGATAATAAAGGATTTGTTGCCATGACTTGTTAATGTGATGGAATTAATTTGAGAGAAAAAAGGCAAAACCATGTCATTCAAGAAAACAAATTAAATCATTTTATTCATGTTTACATTTGAATTCTAGAAATATTTCCTTTGATTCACTGAAATGTAGAACTACCTCTATGTCATATACATAGTAATGTATACAGTGAGTGAGTTTGGCCTCCTTGAGTGCAGGCAGTCAGCGTGATCAGCCAAGCGTCTACAGCCTGTTTGCCTTTGCTTTGCACTTGATCTGGAAGCAAAGTCTGCTCTGCTCAGTGCTCCGCTTTGTTCCTGTAGGTTGTTTGAGCTGTCAAAACTGAAAAGTATAAAGGAAGTAATTGGTCTCAGTTATGTTTCAACTGGGTAAATCTTCTTGTCTATTCCAGCACTGTTCATTTTTACCTTTTATACAGCAACTAGAAAAAAAACATCTAAACCAGTGCTGAAATACTTTACTGTTGAGGTTTCTTTAAAAAGTTTAATACATGCAATGAAAGTGAAGACACAGATCAACAGGCTGCATTTTATACCAGATAAATTCATTAGCAGTTGCGGGTGTCGCGTTTTTACTTAGATACTTATTATTTAAAATACTTTTTGGTCATAAAAATATCATCAGGTGTGATCAAGGAAATCGGGGTAATATTATGTTTTAGTAAAACGAAACACAAAACAAAATCTGTGTCTGAAATACCATCAAAATTGATAGATTGAGAAGATCACATGGCATTATAAAAAAAAATAACTGATCTGTCATCGCTGAAGTAGATTTATTAAAGTATTGTTCTGTTATTGAGACAGCATGGCTAAATCAGTTGAGGCAGAGGTGACAGTGAAGACTTTCACAGTGTGCATCCTTACACAGCAGGAATGAGACAGAAGATTTAGGATGATTTCCAGTCATTAATGTTTTTTCTCAGACCTTGAATTGTTAGAAGATGAGTAGGTTGTGTACACTGGGCGACTGTTTCCAGGTCAATGAGTGTGCAGAAATGCAAAAGTATACGGCATATTTGCTCTGCATCGTTTTGCAGCGAGTCCCATGTCTGAACAAAAGCATCTCTGATCAGCGTTAACACACTGAGGGTTTTTTTCAAAAGCAGTATTTTTTAATCCAGTAATGTCAATAGTGCCACATCGAGTCAGACTGTTAAGAGGTTGAATTTCATCATTAAAAACCTTTTTTCCTTGTGCAGTGGTCAAATAAATGAGGTAAAATTAGTTTTCTTTACCCATTTTAAAATGAATAACCAGTTCTGATTCTGTCCACCTTTTAGTTGTTATAGTATTTGAAATATCGAGTAGTCAAAGATGCACAGTATAATAAATCTTTTGCAGTACTGAGGAGGGTGCTGCTTTACAGACTGTCTCCACTTTTGCTTCCCAATTGAAGTGATTCAGTGGGCAGAGAGACAGATGTCCCTCTGAGAAAGGATTAATCTAACTCTAATTACTTATCGGGCATGCTCCATATGTTGAAGTGCATGTGTGTTTGTGTGGCAGTGTGACTATAAGGAAGGTCTGCTTAGATACCAGCAAGAACAAGTAGCATGTTGTCATTTAAAATTGATTTATAAAGTTTCAAGCTGACCTGGTTTTAATAGCTAGCTCAATTTGCAATGAAATTCATGCAGAAAATCCAAATATGGCAGGGTGACACAAGATGCAGCTGTGATAGGCTGAGACAGCTGTCAATTAAGGCGCCCCATCTCATTCATTCAGCTTCCGAAGTCTCCAAACACTTCAACTTGGCAAGCTTGTGTTCTGTTGTATCAAATTCACACAGATTTTAGTCATGGACTCTATCTGACTCCTCAGATATATGCAGTTGTTTCCTACCTGCTGATTCACTCTTTACCATGGCAACAGCCCTGTCTCCGCCTGGTACACGTAGATGGAAAAGTGAGTCACACGTAGTGGGTGGACGGAGGAGGAAAAGATGTTATTTTGTGCATGCTGTCGTCACAGGAGTTTCCAGCTCTCCATCTGTTAAAATCTCCGTTTAACTCTTCTGTTATCTACAACTGAGTGTTAAACCATAGTCTTTCTGTGGAAGCCGTTAAAATAAGCCACTGAGTCACAAAATATATCAGTCGTGATAATGATTAGATTCATAAGCGTGTTTGGCAGGTTTTGAATAATTCCTTTTAAAACCTATTTGGTGGCTAAATGCCAAATTTTCTGGAAACACTGCTGGCTTCTTCGGCCTATTCTAGATGCCATGATCAATTAGTTTATTGGTTGTTGCATTTTTATACATATATTTTAAAAAGAGATTAAAACATGGCTTAAGAACAACTTTAACATCATGCTGAGAAGTGTTTCAGTCACTGTGTTGTGACTGATTGTGGGTGTGGACTGGATGCACTGAGTTGTATTTAATTGCACTCAGCAGAGATGTCACTGTGAGCAGCCACACCCTTTATGATCTGTTCACCAATCACTGATAAGCTGCTCTTTAAATGACTCCTTTCATCAGTGACAATGATCAGCAACCTCTCTTTTTCTGTACTTATAAATGAAAGTGTCATATAGATACCACAAAGATGTTCATATAGATTTTTGTAACAAGGTTGATTTTGCTTTTATTCTTTCTTGATTTCCATATTTAGAAATGTATAGAAAGAAAGGAAACCTCACAAGTTTCATGACTTCAATCAGCAATTACCCCCCAAAACAGCCTAAAGAGGCTGTCTGAGTGTGTTTCCCAGTGGCTTGTGTAAATGTCAGGTCCCTTTAAATGCACACCACGGAGCATGGACAAAAGAGTTCCTGCTCATTCAACAGAATAAAAGGTTTGTGTGTGCATGTCTGTATGTGAAGTGAGAGAGAAGCAAGAGGAAGAGAGAGACACACACACTCACACACAGAGAAGTTGTATATGTTGTGTCAGGATCCAGAATTCAGTGAGCAAACCCAAAATCTCTGTTCCTCTTTTATCCATCTGTTGTTCCTTCTCTCAACTTCCTTCCTCTTCTTCTTTTTTCAGGACACGTTAAACAACAACTCCCTTGGTAAGAAGTACAGTTGGCAGGAGAAGGTTTCAGGCTCATCCTCGCCCCTTAAAACAGGTGAGCTTCCCCACATCATGTTTATGAGTCATGTTTTAGTTTAGACGCATTTTCTCATTTAGTTGATGGTAACTGGGATGTGCTGGCCAGAATCCATTGTTGTGTTAGTAACATTCAGTCAGTGTCGGCGTGTGTGATTTGCATTGAGTCTGACAGCTTGTGTGTCCCTCTGAACCTTGGGGACACTGCTCAGCCTTGGATTAGCTGCTGGTACAAGTTGAGCTAGCTGAGGCTATGCTGTATATTGTGCGTGTTTGGAAGCCAGCTGAGGCTTAAAGCTAGCTAGAGGCTGTCATAGCCCATTGATGCTGTTCTTTGAAGAGCACCATCCAAAGCTAGAGTAACCAGATTCACAGCCAACAGTTAGAAAAACGTAAATATTAGGTGTTAAGTCAACCTTTTAAAGGCAAATCTGGGGAACAAGCTTCCAAATTCAGGCGAAATGAACTTTTATGCTCTATTCAAGTAATAGGGACAAACTTTAGAGCTTTTAAAGCACATTGTTGTGAGATGATGCCCTTTTATTCCATGCCCTATAAATTATATAAATTGAAATAATGGCAAGTGTAACAGTGTTGCTGTCTGGGTAGTTTGGTTTTATTTGGATTGGATTGAATTTCATTAGGTGTGACTGCGAGCACTATAGTCAATTTGTCATTTGATATGTCAGACTCACTGAAAAAAACAAATGTAAATCTGTTTGCCAGATCATTGCTCGTATTCATGCTGCCCCGATGTCATGCCAGCGCATATTAGGAATGGCATAGGTACCGATCGGTTTTCTATCGCCCATTTGCTGGGAGTAAGGGCACCCTCCGTTTGCGAGGTGCGCCTGGTGCTTGCGGCACAGGGAGGAGAGGGCGGGGCGGCGGGGGATTCTCTGGCTGGCTGGAGCAGCATCTAATAACCAACTCGCAAAATAAAAACAACCCAACAAACACGAAAACACCAGACATTATGATACAGACTTATAATTTGCACCAATGTTTTTTCAAAATTCTGTACGTGAACAGTGAGCGCGAGAGCCCTCGGTGCGCCTGCTCGCTGCTGAAGTCAAAGTAAAACTTTGTCATCTCCGCTACATACAGTACAGTAGGCTCCAGTTACAGCAGTCCAAGTAAGAGGGTGTGTTCGCCCAGGGCGCCAAACAGGCTAGGACCGCCACTGAATGAAAAGATTCTTTCAATTTTGCAGCGCTTCTTGTGTGCACACCTTTAACATTTAAATGAAAATGAAACAGATTTAATTTTAAATCAGTCCTGTCCTGAATTAGCCCCTCTGCTATTTAAATGCCATTTAAAATACTCGGGAATGATGTCTGAATCCCCTGCCAATGGATTATGACATAACACGTCAATCACCTTCTCCTGGCTACACTCTGAATTTGATGAGTAATGGGGATTTGGCTGTGTAATCCTGACATCCGTTACCTAACCATTTCTACTTTTCTCTCTTTCTGTGTGTGCTTTATTTTATCTGCCTGTGCATTCATTGCCATGTCTGTCTTCGTGCATGTGTGCGCATTTGTTTGTCCATCATGTTTGCGTTTCTGCATCACGTATGTTTGCTCCGTGTGCGCGTCTGGGCTTTGCTTGTGCATCTGCGTCTGCATGTGTGTTTGCTTGGGTGTCTGCATGTTTCTGCTCACGCCCGCACTCCCTCTAGGTGACCTCACTCCTCCACGTGAGCACAGCTGTCTAAGCGACGAGGACAAGGTGCACGGTGGGGGAGCGCAGACCAAAGACCGCGGGACCTCCACCGACGCCCCCTGCAGACACAGTCACACCTCGGGACACTCGCACAGCTCAGCTGCAGGGGCTGGGACACGGTCCAAGATTCAGGAGAAGCCACCGGCACCACCACCACCACAGAACTATACACCAGCTCCTCTATATCCTTCAGGGAAAGCGGATGGCAGTGGGTCCCACAGGGAGAGGATTAGATACCACACAGATGTTCATATAGAGCCAACAGAGGAGATCTATCTGACTCCTGTGCAACGTTCCGCAGATCCCCTGGAACCCCCCACCGTCCAGGACCGGCCTTTCCTCTCACAGCAGACTGAGCAGGGACGCATGTCCATTAGCTCTGACACAGAGGGACCACCTCCTTATCAGCCCCTCCCGGACCGGACCAACCCCTCCATCTATGAGGAAGACGAGATCTATGTCCCCCCACCGTCATACGCTTCCTGTGTAGAGTCCCTCATCACGCCACCTAGCATGGCTGTGTCAGCTCACTCCTCCCATGCACTGGACCTCAGCCTAAAGGGGACAAGTACAGGAGCTGGGGCAATGCTCAGGGCTGGGTCATCAGTTGAGTACGTTGATGCCACAGATGAAAGCTACTGTGGGGACGACGAGGATGTGGACAGGTTAATAATGGATGCAAAGATGAGAAAGGGAGGGGTAAAGGGAGCCGCCCCACCGAGGACTTCCATGAGCTCAGAGGCCAGCGGCCTGACATATGACTCAGTTAAATATACATTGGTGGTGGATGAAAATGCTCAGCTGGAGTTAGTCAGTCTCCGGCAGTGTTACCAAGGCTATAGCGATGACAGCGACTCGGCCACAGTCTATGACAACTGTGTCTCATCTCCATACGAGTCAGCCATCGGAGAGGAGTATGAGGAAGAGGAAGAGGAGCATGACCCTCGTATAGGAGGAGTGCGTCGAGAGGCCACAGCGTGCCTATCTGAGGATTCTACTCCAGAGGCGGACCTCCACTTCTCCAAGAAGTTCCTCAATGTCTTCATGAATGGGCGCTCTCGCTCCTCCAGTAAGTCTGGTAAAAACTCAATTCCAAACATAAATGGTGGCGATGGCTTGCATATAGCTTTTGGTTTGTTTTTTTGTTGCGTAATAGTAGTAGTAGTAGTAGTAGTATAAAGACTTCTTGAAGAAACTCACTTTGGTTAGCAAATGTGGTCGTCTGACAGTGCTGATGCCAGTTTGGGGTTTTGTTTTTGTTTTTTTACATTTTTCCCTTTAATCCATTAACTACATTTCTGAGACTTGCTTGTAAATGCCAGGAAGTTTATCAGCACTACTGGCTGGTGCTCTGCCTAATTCCCTTTAAATATACACTGTCAGTGGTGTCTAGCCAAACTGGCAACAATTGCTATTCAAGGCTTAAAGCAGCGCAGCTGATGAAGCAACGCCACAGGAATGTTCAGGAATCAAAATTTTGTCATACACTAAACACAGTCATCCACATGGCTGTCCTAACTGTGGAGTAATACAATACTAAGCCGTACTGATACACAGTATAACCATTGACTATTACATTTACTATGTACTGTATTTGCAAAGCAGTAGTATTTTTTTTTATTTATTTTAAAATTATGTCACTTCTGCTTTTAAGTCTCGAGAATAAAAGCAGTAGACTGGACATTTAAATTACCTGTTTAGTGAAAAGGTGCTCAGCCAGCTTGTTAAGGGGATGTGAGAAAACACACATCTAGAAAGAAGTTAGTGAGGCATTTGAAGTTCTAGACATAACACTTCCATAAAACTGTAAAACTTCCCAAACTGACTAAAGGCGCATTGCTTGATGTAATTTTGTGTCACTTCCACTGGAAGATTCATTCATTTTCAGTAGGAAGCAGAACAACAATGCACTGATTGTGAAATTCAGAAAATATCTACTCAGATATTCTACTGAGTATTAATAGCCTAGAAGAGACTTAGGAAGTCTAATTGAATTGTAAGTCTCACCTGTTTAATTAGCTATTAACTACTACTTTTGTAGTAGTATTCCAACAGCACCCAATGCCCACTTATGTGGTTGAGTATTTAGCCGGGACAAAATTGATTTCTTGTGTCACCGTATTTAGTCAACAAGGTTTATTTTATCAGAGATATGATATGTTTTGTCAGATAAATCAGTGCTTTGCAAATGCTCAACATCTGTAAAACGACTGTAAAGTTTTGTTTTAACACAGTTAACTTTTAGTGAATTCCATTAAAACCTAAAAATCTTATCTAAGTTGTAAGATTTAAGAGTAAATTTGGACTATTTTGATGATAAGGGGTCTAAAGAATTAGAAATCTTGTGGGGACAATGAAGATCCCTTTGTCATATCTTATTAAAGCTGCAGGCTCTGTCTAAGAGATGTTGCTTAAACAGACTATCTGTGATCTCTCAATGAGAAAGAGCGCTGCACTGAGAGGGAGATGAGAATTCTCTGTTTGAGGACTGCAGGACTGATTCAATTGCTGTTGCCAGCCACACATTGACCCTCATCATAGTGTCTGTTAAAGAGCCAGCATTAATGGGCACAAGAGGCAATTCAAGTTATGGAGACAGAGATTAGGAGATACGCGTGTTTACAGTATTTGCTCTAATAGTCCAGGCCGGTCTCTTGGAAGGGATCCATGTATTTTAGTCTCATTAGAAATGCTGCAGCAGTTTTTCTGAGCAGTTCAGGCAGCAGTCACAAAGGTCTCAGGGGAATGTAGGTAGAAATACACAATGCACGTTTGCTTCATGCCTAATTAAAGTGTGATTTATATCTCAGAGAATGCATACATGTAAATGCTGCATCTCCTAATTATGTTCTCTGTGGTCTTTTTTGGACTTGTGTTACAAATTATAAGCCTGTGTCATTAATCTTTTTGCAAGCCTGACACAAAGGCTGACATTGCATACTGTTTACTTCCTATTTTAAAATAAATCTCTCTTGTTTTTTTGTCCTTTTTTTGGTATTCAAGGTGCAGAATCCTTTGGTTTATATTCCTGTATCATAAATGGTGAGGAGAAGGATCAGAGCCACCGAGCAGTCTATAGGTAATGACAGTTACACTACCATCCTCGCTGTAATCCCAACAGACATTGTAAAACCGTGAAAAATGACAGTATGTAGTGTGTGCTGTCACTTCTGTTGATTATGATGTTAATGAATTGTGAAAACCATAGTAAAGAAATGGGAAAAATAAGTCTTAGGGTTTGATATTGTAATAATGTTTAAAACTTGTGTGGATTGATGAAATAACACTGCGGTAATATCAAATGACACACTGTGCTTATATTATCAATAAAGTGTGGCATTCATCTCCCAGTCAGTTACCGTTATAAACATTTGAGATTCTATTTTTCCTATCCAGCGTCTTATGTCTTTGGTCAAACAGACCAGATTGTGTAAGCAAAGATGGGCACCTGAAGTATTAAATGCTTGGTGTTCATCTTCACTAATGAATCTTTCGTAGAAATGAGTAATTCATCCAGCAGCTTTCAGATAACTCAAATAAGTCAAACAGCATTTTTTTTAGAATGAGCCAATCTACAGGCATTTAACAGAAAGGTGTGTTTTTTAAGTGTTTTAATGATAAACCATCATCGCAATTTTTCCATCCTGACCTACTTACTTATTTATTTTAATAAATAAGTAGATTTTACAGCACATTTAAAACCAAAGTGCTTCAATAAAACTAAAAAAGGGTTCTTAAAACTCCCTGTACTCCCTGTTCTTTTAAGAAAAGATTTTAGTCTGCAGATTGTTGACTACAGCATTTATTTGTTTGGTAAATTTCCAATTTGTGTCAAAGATGAGGTTAGTTTAGAATTATATAACTTGTAATTTAATAGTATCAAAGAGGCCCGGGTCATCTTCCAAGCACTCAGTTAAAAGTAGAAAGCCAAAGAGTATGACCTCAGTTTTGCATTAATTTAACTGGAAGAAACTGGGAGATCCTATTTTTTTATTATCCAATAATGACGTAATTGTAACTGGGAAAAGAAAACTGAGACTTTCCTATAACTGCACCAGTTGCTTTCTGGGTTTTTTTCCTGTCATATGGAAGTTTTCACCACTGGAAAAAAATGCCATCCATAACTTGAAATTTTGAGTTATTTTCTCCAAATTTTTAGTTAATAAGTTGACATTTCTTTGTTACCTGAAAACAGATGGCAGTGACACAGGCACACTCAACCTTGGGTAGTGATAGTATCCATGAGCTACCAGTGTAAACATGTACAAACTGCTGCGTGCTGATAACAACAGCATGCCTTTTAGCTAATAACGCAGAGATTTCATCATTTCTGAAACCATGCTGAAAGAACTCAGCAGTTGACTCAATCATGACCTACAGCTTCAGCTTTGGTAGCTAATGCCTTCCACCTTTTGCTTACAGGTAACAAGGAAATGACGTACCTTCACAGAGCTTCCTGATTGACTGAGCTACCTTAAAATCTTGAGTTATTTTCTTGAAATTTTAGCTTGGACATATAGCTCAAGATGTTGAGTTATGGATGGCAAAGAAAAAATATACAAATAAATTTAGTGGCGGAAATAAGGTATGTCAAACATAAGGCCCAGGGGCCAGATTCAGCCCAGAAAAGACTTCAGTCCAACCCAATGGATGGCTTTAGAAAGAGGGTAAGGAGGGTGTAAATTTTGGATTTGTAACTGTATTTGCATAGGTTTTACAGCTTTCCATAGTAATACAGACCTCCCCCATAGCCATTCATACTACATCAAAGTAAACAAGTAACATGTAAAACATGAAAATGACAAAAATTCCTTTTTTTTTTTTTCCTTTTTCTGATATTACTGTATTGGAGATTAAATTTGTGGTTAAATGTCTTTAGAAAGGGGAGTTTTTAGATCTGTCCCACTTAACATCAAAATGACCTGCATGTGGCCCACAGTGTAAAATGAGTTTGACAGGCCTTCTTTAAAGTGTCCTCACACTGTACATCAAATGGAAAAATACAGTGTTACTAATATATAGCTGTAAGCAAGGAACTGATTGTAGTTCATTTTTACCCTGGGTTGTGTGTAATATTGTGTAGCAACACACCTGACCAGCTAACACACATAAGTTGCATTTAAGTCACTGATTTTATTTTTTTCTTTACACTGTTTAAAAATTTCCTTGTAACGACAAGCAGGCGTAGGAAACCCGTGTTTGACTTTTAAACCTTAAATTTCATTTTAAATTCAGAGCTACTTTGTGGAGCAGTTAGCACATAAAAATCTCACATCTTTCTCGACAGGTTTGTCCCTCGGCACGAAGATGAGTTGGAGCTAGAGGTGGATGACCCGCTGTTGGTGGAGGTCCAGGCAGAGGATTACTGGTATGAGGGCTACAATATGCGAACTGGTGCTCGTGGGGTCTTCCCGGCCTACTACGCTGTAGAGGTGACCAAGGACACGGAGAACTACAAAGGTACCAATAGTGCTGGGATTTGTAGGAGTGGGCCACGAATATGTTAGTAAAGACAGAGATGGCTGCTTTAGGCTAAAAAAAAAGGGGGGCTGTTTACATGCCATGAACATCAGAAATGTCATCAGTGATCAGATTTTCTAGATTCAGTACCTCTGGCATAGTTGTGTTTGTGGATGGGAAGCCTATCAGGGTTCTTGCATGGAGTGTGCTCTGATATGTGGGGTTAATGTGCACTCCAGGGAGTGTTTTACTCTACTTTTGAAATCCCAAGGAGGTGTATGCAGCAAGCAACAGGGGATAAAGTATGAAATGATGTGAAGTGCAATGCTATAACAGATTATTAGTCAGTGGTACTGATCGACAGCTCAAAAATGTATTCTGTTCCCTTAAAGGAGCTAGTGACTGAATTGTAGCTGGAATATAGTGCTGTATGAAGTATTACATGTTACACATCTTGCTTCTTGTGTTTATTGTCATTGTTGTTTTTTTCTGCTTTTCTCTGTGCAGTAAAGAGCAATGAATGGATTGACAGATACCGCCTAAAGTTTCTGGGGTCCGTTCAAGTGCCCTACCACAAAGGAAACGATGTTTTGTGTGCAGCTATGCAGAAGGTAAGCTCATGTTTTACACGCATGTGTAAGTTATGGGAGACAAGACATGTGGGGGGGAAAAGGAGCAAGAGACACGGAAGGGAAAGAGAGAGAAGGACAGAGACCAAATACAGACATGACTGGGAGACATACACAGAGAACATGTCTCTGTCATAGGAGACACAGGGATGAGACAGAGACAAGAAAACAAGAGATGAGAGATACAAATAAACTCAGAGGCATAAAAGAACTAAACTCAACACCATAGGGGTTTAAGTTGCATTTGTGTGTCTTTGTGTTGTTTTACTTCGATAGCTCGAAAAGTTGTTGTGATGTTAACAATCCATTAAAGCCTTTATAACTTAGTAACTATTATTCTTGGAGTTGTTTTTATCTTGTCACATTTGACCTCTGACCTCTCTTTAAGTTAAATAGAAGACTATGTCTCTTACTTATTGACGACATATACGCATATAGGGAATGATATATAGGGATCATAAGTTTTGCATAACGTTACTATGACCTCTTTAAGGTCAAATGAGGTCAAACCTTTGAAAAATGTCTTTTACCTTTGTTTTAAATTCTAGTGCCTTTTGTTTCAGTTGACCTCACTGCTTATATTTTACTTTCAAATTAACCCCAAATTGAATTTTTTCATTGCACTTTAAACTTCTTAAAGTGTTTTTTAAAAAAGAAAACAAAAGTTAATGTATACAAAATACAATATTATCCCCTTAAAAGTAAATACTGCCCAGAGCTAGAGCTGCCTTGGCAGAGGTTTGCAATTTGTTTGTTTGCATATTCACAGGTAAAGGAAACTTTTGAAGAGCTTTATTCTAGTAACATTTTCAAAAACCATCTAACACGTGTCTTACAGATTGCTACTAACCGAAGGATGACAGTCAAGTATAACCCACCTTCCTCATGCATCCTGGAGATCAGTGTGAAGGGCATCAAGCTTTCAGTTCAAGAGGATTACTATGCTTGTGACAGAGTAAGACGTTTACTGAGCCTGTGTATGTCTACTGTGAAATAATTACATGCAACTTCACAGACTAATCAAATAAAAGCTCATCAGCAATCTTTTGGAAAGGTGAAAAGGTTAAGGATCTCACTTTTTCAGTGATGCATGGTTTGGTTCATGTGTTTTTAACTGATAAAGATTTTGTTTCAAATTAAAATATTTTGTTTCTGAAGAAGAAAAGGCTCCTAGTTGTTAGAAGTACTCAAACCGGCCTGTGTGGCAGAAATAACTGGGATGCTCAGTTTTACCTCAGCATGTTGTCTAAACCATGTCTACATCTAAATGCATTGGGTTACTACCCTGCGATTTGCTATTTAGATTTTTGCATCATTTTGTAGTTGAACAGGTTTACCTAATAAAGAGGTTGGCGAGTGTATATTTGAAGAGTAAGGCAGAGAAAGAGAGCGAGAAGCTATAATCTATCAGCACAGTGTTGAAGGAACACATGAGACACATCGCCACCATGTGGCTGCCGACTGATACTGCAGACAAACGTGTTAGTGTCAGGCCACAGTAATTACTTCAGCGAAAAGAAACTAAGAATTCTGTGGGAATTCTATGTATGTATATGTAATTTAAAGTTCATCTGTTTAAACAATTGAGAAATTAATGTTTTACTTTTATCAAGATCTGATGTTCAGATAATATGTGATGCACTATCAATCTCGATATATTTTAATATTGCAGTCGCCAACTAGTCTAAATTAAAAGCTTTAATTATTTTATCAGAAAAAAAATTTATTTTATCAGCAAGCAAAAAAGAAAAGAAAGAAATCAATAAAAGTAAAATATATGAAACATGGTTTGAAATGTTTGCTTCTTGGTGTTAATCTTAGACGTTTATGCATCCTCTGTTGACAGAGTAACGAATGCAGTCACTTCTTCCAGTTAAAGAACGTCTCCTTTTGTGGCTATCACCCAAAAAACAGCAAGTAAGTAAAAACTGAAGCAGAGAGAGCAGTTATGCTGCGCTCTCTGTCGAGATTAAAATTGCCACAAGGTCTCACTATTAGATAAATATTCAAGAATATTGGACCTCTTCCTGCTCACTGATAAAACAAAGCAGGAGTTCATCATTATTAGGTGTCAAAGTAATATACTGAATGTCTTTTTTAAAACTTCTCTGCAGGTATTTTGGTTTCATTACGAAGCACCCAGCAGACCAGAGATTTGCCTGCCACGTATTTGTGTCTGAAAATTCTACCAAACCTCTTGCAGAGTCAGTAGGGTGAGTTGTGTTTTTTTAGGTTTCCTTTGGACATCAGTCGGGGGTTTTAGTGAGATACGGTTTAACAAGTTGCATAAATAAATACATCCCGCCAGCAGAGGATCTTTACAGCACTGAAACTTGCTGTAAATAATACTTGTATAAGTTACTATGGTGTTTAAGTTACTTTGCAAATTTCAGTTTTCACAGTTTTACCTTCTAAGAAATTTGACCTGACAGGATCAGCCAGTTTTTCTCTTCTCAGCAATTCTCAGTAAATCTTCTCAGTTATTCTAAACGTGATCTGAACAAAATGTAACCAAATAAATACACTGCAGAAATTAACTTAAACTTAATTGAGCTCATTCAAATGAATAAAAAACAGAAAAGTGTCACGGTTTGCTGGGGCAAGCCGTGTGTGAATTATTTAGGACCCAAGATGCGGCAGCTCTGGTGCAAGTGAGTTTATTTAGCCAATGTAGATACAAACAGAGATGGCGAGGGTGAGCTTAAAACTAAGAAAACCTAAACTGGGAAAAACAAACCTGAAATTTTGAGACATGAAACCAAGATGCAGGGAGACGTAGAGAACATAGGGAAAACCACACAGGATGACAGAGGGAGAAACGCAGACGAACCAGCAACTACTATGACAGAAGACACGACTTAAATACACTCAGAGAAACACAGGGAGATTACTCACAGGTGGGGGACACAGCTTGGAGTGATTAACGTGACGAGACAAGGGAGTCAAACTGAAAGCACTCACATAAGACGCAGACCTTCACTATAAACAGGAACTTACACATGCAAGGACACAGACAAAGAAACGCGGACTTGACACAGGAATACACGGGCAGAAAAGAATAAACACTAAACTGAGGAAGAACAGCACCAAAATCACAATAATAGAAAACACAAAACGCTAGGTCAAAAGACCCAGGATCATGACAAAAACAAAACCTTAATAAGGCTTTCTCAGGCATGTCTGGCACTTTGTAATGTTCTGCACCTGTTGGCTCTTGTTTAGAAATGTTTATGTTGTGATTAAATTTATGTGACGTGATGTGTTTTTCTTTTCAGGAAAGCCTTCCAGCTGTACTATAAAGAGTTTGTGGAGTTCTCATGCCCTACAGAGGACATCTACCTGGAATAGCCTTGCCTTTAACCACAACCCTGTAAAGTACGCTGTATCATAACATAATGTTGCATGAAGGACAGATATACATTAATTGGTAAAACAAAAACAAAAAAAGAGAAAAATTAAACATTAACACATCTGACAAACGAACAGGTATAGAAGGCCCAAGTTTCAGACCTGTGGTGAAAACCTTGTGCAGCAACCAGAGATGAAAATGAGCCAAAGGAGGGGTTTCCTGGCAAATGAAAATATGCAAAATGGCATCAGTGATGAGGCAAAAATGGAAAGCACAAATATTTTAACTCATCAGTTTCTGCAATGCTTGTTAGCCTGTAGCATCATGTCAGCAGAGGCAAAGCTGAAAGCCCAGGAGACGTCTGGAGCACTTTGTACGCTGGAAAAAAGAAAGAAAAAGCAGAATTTATGACTTGGAAGTGAACAAACAAGTGATGTTGGTTCATTTTGTCTTGAAATACTGTAACCAGGGTGTGAGCACGAGAGAGGTGTTTATTTACTAAAGACGTAACAACCTCACAATGAAAAAGGAGTACTAAACTAAATAAAGCCCATGTAGGAACAGTTAATTTTATCCTTTTATCACACCAAATATGAAGGCGTATCCACATTTATTAAAAAAAAAACAAAGGGAGAGAAATCTCAATAAAAATCAGATGCAGTGATGTGCTCTGCATTTTGGGGGTTCTTGCCACATTTTTACTGCTTTTTGTTAAACCCAGACACAGATCTGTACTGCATATTCAAGGTACAGTAAGCACAGTGTGAATACACAAGAGTAGAATAGGTTTGCTTTTCCATTAAGCATTTGGAGCTAACTAGTAAAGGAACAGCTGAGTATCTAAAGTTAATTTCAAATAGTTTTAGTTGAATAAAATTAAAAGATGGTTTCAGCTTATCACTTTTCAGTCAGACAGGCAGAAGGTAAACTTTGCCGATTGATTTATATACTTTACATGCTAATGCTCAATTAAAGTAGACTTTAAACTACTTTTCTCTTGCATCTGTGCGGCTCAGTATTTGGAGATTCACACTGGTGGAGTTTTACTGGTGGAATTTTTCACTCTCGCCACTTGTGTAAGTTTGCTCCTGGTGGAAAACTACCAAAACAAAAGATTGATGGACAAACCATGGATTGATGATTTCACTTCCTGATGGAGGCTAGTGTGACCAAATGCACTGGAGTTTTAGGTTAAAGCCTAAAATGAGGGTACAAACATGTAATGTAAGTTAAATACTAAAATCTCATATTCCCCCTTTCCACCAAGGTGAGCCAGGTGCTGGTTCAAGTCTTTTGTGCTAGTGGTAGTGTGCAATTGGGCTTTCCAAATGTTGGTCGGCTTTTTCACGAGCCTTTGTAGTTTTGACTTTACAACACATGTATAAGACTATGAACACATCAAATGATTAACACTTTACTCTTTGAAATGTTACTTTGGAGTAAACATTGAAGTTCTTTTCATGACTGAATGGTTTCTGTTATTTTGTGGCATTAGAAGTTAATGAGAAATTCTCTCTCTCTCTCTCGCTCATACATATATATATATATATATATATATATATATATATATATATATGAAAGAGAAAGAGACTTAGGTGTCAAAAACCATCGTTAAGTTTTACAGGGGACATTGACAAATGTCATCTCTAGGGGAGAAAGCATTACAGGTCTCAGCTTTTTGCTGAAGTTCTGTTGAGAAGTGAAGTGAAAAGAGACAATTTGTCTCTCTCACTAACTACTGCTGGAAAACTACAGAGGTGTATTTGTATAACTGCTGCTGCTTGATTTTTTTAATTTAGTATTGCCAGTCTGCTTAAATTATCATCCATACTGACACTTGGGTTTTTCTTCTAGATGATGTGCTAGTTGTATTTTTTTACTAATGGCCCTAGCCCCTTTTGTACTTTTTTTCATAGTTGAAAAACAGCAAAGTGTTGATGCTACATTGAATAGTTCTTTGTGACAAAGGCAGAATAAAGAACTCCTTAAATGTACTGAGCATTGTCCATGCAGAGAATGCTTAGAGGTACACAAGTGTGTACTTTAAGCAAACATCTATTGGTGCTATCGTGCACAGCTCTGTCCATATGTTCAGTAAAGCCTTAGTAATTCCTTGTCTAATGTCGGGACATGCAATGCTTCTTTACTGTGTGCTCTAATTAGGTGTGAAATTAGTGGTAAAGATGTTTAACAGAGAAAAAACCCCATCTGAGTTCGGCTGTTTACTCCTTCATACGACATTTTTCTGCAACTAGAATATGACACATTCTCAGACTTGTAGAGACAAGAAAATGATGCTTGGTGCAGTAGGTACAGGTGCTAACGAGGGAGCAAAAACAAAACTGGTGTCTTCAGATCTTCACTAGTAGTGCCTCTTTTTCATGAGATCATTGTTACTTTTTTGAGTCAACATTATTAAAATCTTTTAAGGGTTTTCCATTGAGTGTGTGTTGACTTTAAGGTGATGAATGCAAATTGAGTTGTTTTGCTGTGATTTGCTCTTCATTCCACTGCACTACACATTATTTGCTGTACATGTGCTGGTAGTAGTCAGTTTTTCCTCTATTCATCCTCGTTCTACCATTTGTTGCCATCAGAGAGACCAGTAGAGAAGCTCCTCCAGCTCCTCTAGGGTTACACTTTCTTCAAACCTTCATTTCTGCAGGCCATCCTCAAACAGCAAACTCAAAACAGCTCCTTTCAGTGCAAAGTTGCAGCTCTATCCTTTGCGCCACTGCCCCGGTGAAGATTGAGGTGTGAGACAAATAACTGGGCTCCTAACTCTGTGCCTGGCAGAGCCAGGATGGCCTTTAGTGTAAACACACTGCTAACACCCATATCAGCGATCATATTCTTTCTGCTCATTGCCATAGATGATTGTAGAAACATGGATTGAACTGTAAGTTAACAATTTTGTGACACTCAGCTCACTGTTCACAGCAACAGTGTTTGTAGTTTCTGTTTCAAAATTCCTTTCAGATCATACAGAGTGAATATTTTACCCAAAAGATTTCAAATACACCTTCTCATTATGTCTCTGGTATCCCCAGGAGTGTACATAATACTTGGGAAATTATGAATTTTATTATTAGAGAAGGAGCTTTGTTTAATTAGCTCATGCCAGAGATTTCACAAGTTGGGCTTGATTGAGAACTTAGTCACAATGAAAAGAAACAAAAACTTGACCCAAGTGTTATGGAAGTCTATTAATGTCCTGTTTGTGAACATGTGAAACCAGTGAAAACGCATACAGTGGATAATTACTGAGACTTGATGTTGTAAAATGTGCCATAATGGTTAATAAGCAATAATGATTTTTGAGCTGCTTGTTGCAGAGCTTTATAGACGTTTTAGTAACCCAGATTGTTCATGGTAATCTGAATTATTGAAATGAACATTAAGTTACACCATTGTTTGTGATAATGAGATTTTTTTTTATTTATCAGCACACGTACAGCACAGTTGTTTTGCAGTTAAAAACAAAGTATTCTTTCTACATCATTTGTCACTAACACCGGTTTGTAACTAAATATTTTATGTGGTCAATATTTATCAGACAATTAAATAAATGTAAAAGCAAGATTCACTAATGAAGAATATTGAAAATGTTCTATTCAGCAGTTGTCTCACCAGTTGTCAGTTTTTCATTGTCAAAAACAGAAAAAAAAATCATTTTGAAGAAAACAAGTTGTCTGCTGTTGTTGAAAGCCATTGTGTTTGTATCAGGAGAGATCAACACTCACTTTTCTATGAATTCCCCTCTTAAGAGCCGATCAGACTGACAGGAGAACGTGGACTGCAGCAGGGGCTATACAAAGAGTGTACAGACATGGGTGTATAAATAAAGAATTTAATTTCTGTAATTATAAATATGACATTGTATTGATTCAACATGTAGTTTGTGAAATTTCTCTTTATTTTGGACTTTTCTCTTTCAGCTGTGAATTATTCTGGATTTAAAAGTTTTACTGCAGATCTCATGGTGTGCTGTCATTAATGTGCTGGGATCAGTTATACAAACATATATTGCTGCCATGCTCCTGCTGCCTGATTCAAACTTCAGTGACAGTGCTGCATCTCTACATAAAAGAAAATTATGTAGATAAGAAAGGTTAATGAAACTTGCAAGAGAATTTGTGCTTTTATACTGATTTTTTATTACATCTTAATGGGTATTTATGTATAAATTAACAGTAGGCCTACTGTAATGTACTGCTATGCACCTACATACCAGTGATGCCTGCACAGCACAGGTTGAAACTTGGATACAACTTTGTGCTCAGTGATGCCCTGGCCTCACTGGGAGTAGAGGCCCCATGACACCATCTGTCATCTGAGTAGGAGCATGCCCCAACGTAGTCAGGCATGCATACAAGAATGTAGGGGCCATACAAACTACTGAGTGAAATTTTGAATTATTGCAATGAAATTTGCAGTTGCTGTACTTTAGCATTTAGTACTTACCATGTTTTACTTCACAGTAGAGGAGAAGTCTAGTGATATCTGATCAGGTCACAGTCTAGTTGAAAATGGTGGTTTGTAAGGAATGATTTGGCTCTCTCTGAGGTTTGTCTTCAATCCAAACAATTGGGTAAAATTTTGACCCAATATTTGATCAAAGTCAACCAACCTATAAACAGACAAAATTATTCAAGCCTGGGAGTTAATTAAAGAACCCAGCACATCGCCAACCCAACTCCTGAGTCACAACTTTTGAACCAATTTTTGGTCAAACTAACCCAACTTCTGAACCTATAAGTGTTAGAGTGAATTATTAAATGTTGTCATTTTTATGCTTACCATCTCTACATTGTTTTAACTCTGTGATGAAAGGAATTCTTTTGTCCCCCTCCCCAGATTCTTGAGGTTCTGGGTGGGGGCTGTAGTGTTATCACAAGCACATCCTTGTGACTGTTTGTTTGATGTTTGGTAAGCTTCCTGCCCTTTTTGTGGCTTCACTGTGTTATCTAGGGTGAACCATAAATTGGGTGTGGGGGAGACTACCCTCTTTATGCCTTGGATGTTGCTTCCTGCTTTTATGACCCTTTTGGTCAGCAGGAGAACACACATACATTCTCACATAACACACACATCCTTACCTATTAAATTAAATTAAATTTTATTTATATAGCGCCAAATCACAACAAAAGTCGCCTCAAGGCGCTTCATAGATA